CGCCTCATATACAAAAGCAGAGTAAATGAGGGGAAAACGCCTTAACTTCAGTAGAAGCAGCCACCATGGGAACTATTTGAATTTTACGCTTATTCAAACTCGTGTTAGAGGCATGGCGTCGTTAGACCCCGATTTTCCATTGAGATCATTGGCTAGCCTGAGGAGCTGAACATCCCTCACTGAAGGCGTAGTCATCCTGCGCCTCTACAAGCTGACTTTAGACATAGCCGTTCCGATTGATTATTCTGTCTAATTCCACTTAGGGCGTCCTCTGGAATTGCCAAGAATAGAAACACGAGACATCACCAGTTGTAACTCGGGCATCAATGATCGATTCTCGTTGCCCTCCGAGAACTTCGCCTCAGCTTGGAAGCTAGTGACTCGGCTTGCATTGATGCTATTCAGCCATGTATGCGGCTGACATCGGTGTAAAATAATGTCCAGAATTGGATAATTTGATAGAGCATGGCATCTCCCTTACCCGGATCTCAATTATAAAAGCCTGATACCTCTCGAGCTTCAACAGAAACTCAAATCATCTCAACTACCCAGCAACAACATCAATTAGATACCTTCACACATCCCTTTCTCAAGCTTCCATTTCAGAAGTTCTATTTGTTCAAGCTTCAGACGCTGCGCACCATGTCTCTCTTCAAGACCCTTGCTGCTGTCTTTTTGACTGCGAGCTCAGTGTTAGCCGCCCCTCTTGAGTCTCGGGCTGAAGTATCTTTCAAGCCTTCTGCCATCTGGAGATACAATGTTGGCAATGGCGCCATCTCCGCCACCAACACGGGTGATGTGGCAAAGGCTCCCACCAACGGCGGCCAAGACACCACCGCTCTCCTGACATTCACTTATCCGTCCTATGTTTCTGGTCAGAAGTGCCAGTTTGCCTTCTCCTTGGATTCCACCGCAACACTTCAAGGAAGCGCAAAACTTGATTTGTTCTCCAGCCTCCAGCCGGCTCCAGGCCCAACTGCCGGATGGGGACCCGGAAACCAGCGCAACGTCAATCTCGGCCGCCTCAACCTGTTCAAGCCTGGTCAGGCTACATGGGAGGCTACTTACAGCTCGTATCTCACCCAGAAGACAGACTGCAAGGCACCGGGCACCGTTGAGGCCTTTGAGCTCGTTGGTGTCTACGACAGAGATCTTGTCTCGTGGAACCCTGCCTTGGCTGGACCTCGCATCGTCGTCACCCCTTCCTAGTTTTTCAACACAGAAGGAAGACAGGCCATGATATCTAGCCGAATTTCCGAGCCTATTTTTATAGTTCTCTCATGTCGAACTCTGGGACGAGTACTTGATGAATTAATGCGTTGATTAAATCCAGCTTATATATCGGTCATTATCACATCTTGGGTAGCGATCTGTTTCTATTCACTCCTTTTTGCTGAATTGTTTCAGCTAGCTTTATTGAATTATATTGAAGAAATAAACTTGGATCAAATTTCACCCATTGAATGGATTCCTCTCTGGTGAAGCGGTTTTTCACATGAAATTGAACGTAGTTGAAAAATAAGATCGATCTTGAGAGCCAATTTTTCAATAGCTGCCAGAGAGATGACAGAAGGAATGAAAGTCGAAGACTTATAACTAATTTGAACGAGCTGCTACACTAGAGCTTGTATTTAATAATACACGATGTCCTCATTATCTGCACCCGACTCTTTCCATTTCAAAAAGGCGTTGACGACATTTTGTGCCGCCTTTTCCGCGTAGTCTGGTCCTGGATTGGCAGGGAACACAGTATTAGGATCACCGGCAATCCAAGCCACAGGGGCACTTCCTTTCCCGCGGAAGAGCTTGTTCAGCTCAACCACATGCTCGTGATCAAATGCTCTTCCGAAAAACACTGCACGGGGAGCCTGGCTGTAGTTGTGCGAACCGATATCATTGCCACTGGGTTCCGATGGGACCTGGCCTGCAATGAGCTCGCCAATATGCGCCTTTGCATACTCATAGGAGTTGATGAAATGGATGACTGAGAACAAAGTAGGTTAGTTACCGTTTGGGGCGGACCATATTGGGTCTATACAGACTTTCGATATCTGGCTTCACTCGTGGTGCGACAATCTCACCGACCTGGAGCGTCTTGCCACAAAGAATAGCAGGGACAGGAGATGTGAGGCCAGCTTGTGCCATGGTGTTGGTAACTTTTTATGTTGGCGATAATGGACCTTGATGATTGATATGATCGCAATGAAGAAGGTGTTGTCTGATGAGTTGTTTGAAGGAACAGGGAAGAGAAGGAGGGTAGTTACCAAGACCAATCACCTCCGATGACATGTGATTTTTTCAGAATGAAAAAAATCGAATGTTTTCTATGTCGTCTCATCGATTAGAAATCCATCTTCCTCGAGTCTCGCTCATGGCTCACTGGGCCAATTACGGCGACCTTGTAGATGGATCCCCGACTGGTCCCGATGGCTCGTGCCGAGCTTATGTCCGTAGTTTATGTTTCGTCCGTCTTAGCTCTTATGGTGACAAGCTAAGATAGACCGGGGTTGAAGCCGAGTGCATTGAATGACTCGCATCGGCAATGAGGGCCGTGGAATCCTTACATTAGATTAGGCCACAGCTTGAACATATGCCTGTGTAGTCCATATCGAAAGGATTATCCTAGTTTTGCCGTTGAAAGTTTGATTCTCATCAAACTATGATGGATGAAACTCGTATACTTCTATGGCTTCTGAAAATCAACGCTGGATCTATCAATCAAATTCTGAATGTCTTGATCATAAAGACTACAATCCCATTCTGGTGAAACCATTGATTTTCCGTCTATATTCGTCTATCTAGATCTGTCTTAATAGCTTTTAATTGCAGAGAGCCATGTGAAAAGGCTTCCCAAAAGCTTCACAAGCTTGCAACGAGCTTTGTTCCACTAGTCTTCATGACTTTCCCCAAGCCTATTTCGATGGCTTGGAATCCCTTGCCCACGACGTCAACATTCAAGGGCAACTTGTATTTACCCTCATCCAGTAATTTGTTGAGATACTCCATCGCCTTTGGATTCTCGTCAAGGATAGATTGGCCGCCCACCACTGTCATTCGCAGTTAGTTTGTGATACAAACCATAGAAGATTTGCAAGTTTAAAGATATATTATCACTCACAAGTTGCATTGATGCCCTCCGGCAGCTCTACTCCCGGACGTGTAATTACGAGGGAGTACAATTTCGGGCCATCTTCCCGCAAAGCACTATAGACGGCAGGCTCAGCGCTCCCGGCACCGACCGCATCAATGATGGCGTCTACACCCGCTCCTTCAGGTGTTGCTGCCTTCAGAATGGCCGCGTCTTGCTGAGCAGATCGTTCGAGAGTAACATGAGCCCCAAAAGATTTGAGTCGTGCATGATGAGTGGGCGAGCTGGTTGTTATAATGGTGGCCGACGGTAGGGCGATACGCAACAGTTGTATGGCGCTGGAACCTACACCAGAGCTGCCGCCCAGAACAAGAATGGAACGAGGTGGTGCCTCGATGGTATCTTTGGTGGAGAGGCCAGGGATGTGGACTTTCAATCCAACAGCAATAGTAGCTGCCGCAGTGAGGTAGGTAATGCTATGTTTGTTAGGTTGTATTCTGACGTTGGATAATAAAGATTCTCGGGGTTCGCCGTTGACTGCTCACTCACGGGATGGAGGTTGCTTCTTCAAAGCTGAGATTTCCTGGCTTTTTAGCGACCACACTCTCATGGGCCTTGTATACATCTTGGAATGCACCGTTGTACTGAGTCCTCTGGATCCAGCTCATGACTTCGTCACCGGGCTTGAAAGATGTAACACCTTCTCCAACCGACTCAACCGTGCCAGAACCCTCGATGCCAAGAACGCATGGCCAACCCGCCACAAGCGCACCAAACTGGACATTCTTCCAATCGATCGGGTTGATGGACACAGCCTTGGGGCGGATAGTGATTTCGTGTGCGCCAGGCTTCGGCATCGGGGCTGAGACTAGGGCGAAGGGTCCGCCTTTCTTAGTTGTCTGATACTGTTGAATAGACATTTTCTCTGCTAGGGAATTCTTCCTGATTAGTGATGAATAGAAACTACGTGCTATGGTAAATGAGGATTGCTGTGCTGTATAAGAAGGGGAAGCTGGGAGGTGAGTGCAGGTCGAAGAAATGCGTAAGAGTTGCGGCCACAGAGGCATATTAGTTGAAGTTAAGGTCGGGTATCCGAGGCGATCTGAGTTCAACTGATTTATTTCGTTCCAGTCACGGGCATGAGTTCCATCTAAACATCTTGCTTCATCCACCATTTGCTCTCTCCAGTGTAATGAATCAATATCGTCCGTCAACAAGTTCGGGCATGAGCCAAGCCCGACTAGCGGCGTATAAGCAAGCAAGAAGTGGACCAGTTACAGGGATCGCGGGGCATGGATCGCGTATCTTTTCGGGTATATGTAGACACCCCCAACCCGAGTTCTTCATCTCATCCATGATTAAGCTTATACCGTAAACGTTGCAACGATACTTTGGAAAGGTGGAAAGTCGGGATATACGGATCCAGTGATCTTTGCAGATACTTGGTTCTTCAGTGAGGACATCAGGGTGATCCCAGCTCACAGCTAGACCACCGAGGTAAGCTTGTGCATGACTCGAGCATCATAATCTGGGAGATCTTGAATCATGAACATGTCTCTCGGCTTGAAGTTGTGTGACTGGCTAATTGTTTGCTACTAGCTTTCACAAGTCGCTACAGTCACAGTTACTGGTGGTTCTGCTTCACACCGCCAGCTCAACTGCTCAACATCCATCTTCATTGGCTGACAACTGATTCCAACTCAATATGCCTGAGGATGGATCGCCGAAGCCTACCCATTTCCGTACAGCATGCGATCCATGTTCCACATCAAAAGTTCGATGCGATAAGGCCCATCCATCCTGTGACAGATGTGTGCAGATGAAGGTGAGATGCTTCTACAGCGAATCACGGAAACATGGGAAGAAGGCTTGGCGAAGAAAGTTAGCAGCGGACCGCCGGGCATTGGCGGCGATGAACCTCGAGCCGGACATTTATCCCCTGGAAACCACAAAGCCGATTGCAACCACGGCTTTGGTACAATCAGAATGGGGCTCCCTGCTCTCCTTGCCACATCAGCCGGCCATTATAAGCACCAACCCTCCAGATTCTACCCTATTTGACAATGAGCAGCAGAGAGCCGTGCCTAGCTCAGTTCTTTCACCCTCATGGCCCATCGACCCATCTCTTGGTACTATGATGGGAGTCAACCCCACGCTTGACTGGAATGAGGCCGACTTGTCGTTACCTGAGCCCTCTCCTTCAGGTGAGACCTATTCGTTGTCGGGTTTATGCCAAGGTGAATCCTCCGCTACGACGTCATCAGGAGCGAAGGCAGCATCCTCAGAACCCGGTAGCAGGAAAACTACCCATGACTGCGAGGCCCAGGCCGTCTCTATCCTGCGCTCGCTCCAGAATAACGAGATGTCCGAAGGGGCAACATCTTGTACTACCACAAGATACTCCGACTTGAACCTTTCTCCAAGCTTTGATGGCGTCCTCGCGACAAATAAGCTGGCTCTAAACAGTTGGAAACGTCTTATGGAGTGTACTTGCGCGGAATGCCCTCATCTAATCCTGCTATATGTTGCGATTCTATCCAAGATGCTGTTTTGGTATTACATCATTGCCGAGAAATCACTCTCCACGGGAGGAAGCGGGCAAGACAGCGCTGGTGACAGCATCATTGTCGATACCCCGACTCATGGGCCTCCCAAGATCCGGGAGTTTGATGTCCTCCCGACCAAGGTACAGGTTGGATTGTTGGATATAGACCCAGAAGATCAGGCGATCATGCGTCGTGCCGTTCTTCTTCGGGAGTTACGGGCTATGGAACAGGCAATAGCCGAGTTTTCGGACCAAATCAACCCGGCTGAGGGTGTGGAACCACATTATATAGCACAACGCTCAAAGAAGTGGTCATTGACTAGCATCTCTTTCATTAAAGAGGAGCTGGATACTGTTATTCGAAAGGTTGAGCAGCCTTGATAACGCTAAGAGAACCAATAAATATGAATGGCCAAATGCTGGGGATCACAGGTAAACAAACCCCGCTTACTTGATCTCCCACAGTACGGTAGAACATACATTTCCCTTTCCAGTAGCTCTGAAAAGTAATAAGCTTGCCCATCTTAGCCTATGTTGGCTTATTTTCCTGGGTGGTGTGGATCATTGGCACATTCTTCCTCATGCTGAGCCAGAATGACTCATAATGTGTAATTTTGAGACGTGAATTCATCGGCACTGTGTACCTAAACGCAGGCCACGTGCCAGCCATTGTTAGCATACAGCGGGTGACAATTGATTTGTTAACGATGGAAATGTTTATTGAACGAAGCAAGTGTGGGTGATGGATGGGCTGAGAGTTCCAAGATAGATCATTACAATTTGCCAGCAAGACGATGGCAAACGATGGCAAAGTATGGGCAAATCTCGCATCATTGGAAGTAATGCCGTGTCTTCGGCATGCAGAACTTATAACTTAAATGCCTCTGCATTCAAAATTTGATGAATAATAGAAAGTAGAAACAAAGGAGAAAATAATTCAACGACCCGTAGAAAGAATATTTCGCAACGCATCAACTTCCGCTTCCCGCCTGGCCAGTTTAATTCTCAAGCTGTCCCGTTCAGATGTCATGATATCAAGGCGCTTTTCTAGATCAGCAAGGCGATCAAGACGCTTTTGTCGGTATTTGCGAGATGCTATCGTGTTGCGTTGGCGTTTGATTGAACTTTTGTCGGAATCACCCTCCGGCTCATTTGTCCGAGGTCTCTTTTTCGTGGAGGCCTTATTGACACTTGGATCCGATCCAACGGAGGAGTCAACGGGAGAGATGCCAGTGCTGGAGTCATTGCTACTGTTGGAGGCAGCACCCTGGGCAGGTGAGTTTGATGAGATTCTTGACATTGGGGCCGTGATAGAAACGGAGCTCTCTTGAAGACGAATGTTAGTTTGGATTGAGAAATTAAGAAAGTTGCCGGCATACCTTGCGTGGACTCTTTCATGGCTGGTGCGTTATGAGTCAACGCATTGAGTTCATTGAAAGCATGAAATAGCGTCATAGAGTCACTTGATGATCCTTGATTTGGGTATTCGAATGTGGATGGCTGTATGCTTTGTGTCGGCCAGTTTGGATCAAGTTGCGTGCCGAGACAATCGAGGTTGGCAGAGTTCCAGTCAATTCCTCCTTCACTATTGTCAACTTCCAGGTTTTCGCCGGCCCATAAGTTACTCTGATCAAAGAAATCTACCGGATCCTCGAATATATGCTGAAAGTTGTCTTGATTATATATGTATTGATGCTGTCGGTCTTGACTCTGAAACTGATTATTTTGTTGATGGGGATGATTAATTCGTTGGTGGGATAGGCTCCTTTGGTTGTTGTGGTCGGTAGAAGCATCTCTTGATCTGAGAAATGGCCTTGACTGAAGTAGATCCGGAGGTAGCCATGGGTGCAGAGTAAAATGCCTCTCCTATACAATGGAGAGGCGTGAACCCTGCTAGAGGAATGAGGGTATATTGAAGGGGAGCAGTTTGAAGAGAGCAAATCCAGTATCTGGATTGATGATAGAAAGAATGTTGGGGAGAAGGGAAGGAAAAAAGAATGTTCGGAAAGAGGCTGGGCCCAATAAATACTTGAAGTGAGAAAAAGCGAAAAGGGGTGGTGTCAGCCTTTGGGCACTCAGTAATTCACACTGTGAAGATCTTTCTCACTGGATCTTAAAAGTTCTCCACACTCCATCTCACCTTGGAGTGTCCAAGAGAGATTCCCATTCGGGGAAATCTCCTTTCATTGTAGCGGATAAGACCGGGGAAGTTTAGGTGTGAACCGTTCTTTCATCCTAGGTGGCAGAACGTAAATCCGACGACCCGTCTCCTGCCCCCCCCGCGGAGGGTTCCAGGAGCTCAAAGAATACTGGTCACCAAACGTGGATGACCACTGCTACAGTCAAAGGTTGAGTATTTTCAGCCCCCAAAATAAATGCAGTAATGTATTCATCTGATTACATCTTGTTATGCGGAGTAATGCAGGCTTAAACCACCGGTTAGCCATGAGATTGACTTGGAGAGTAATAGAATGGATAGGCCAGCAAATTAGCCCGACCGAGATAGTTTCTAGCTAACATCGAACAAGAGCTGTTCATTCAAGTCACACTCAAGAGCTGTTGAATTAGAATTACGGTAGTGTATGTAGAATTCAATGAAAGGGTGCAACATAAACAGATATTTCTAGCAGCAATAAAGATATGAATAATGAGCCCTCCCTTGGTCCCTGGAAAAAACCTCCTCAATCAAGCCAAATACGAAAATCGAATACTTTGCTCGGAGCGCTCACCGATACCCCAACTGACAAAATGGTTTACTTTGATGAAGTGTAACGCAAACGCTGCTTATAAATCAAGCATTGCATCATGCCTCGGAATCCGATCCTTCTAGAGGCGGGGTGAAGCCGCCTCCTCAAATTCTCTGGCTTTGCCACGAACTCAACAGTCCAACATCACTGACTTCTCCAATTTCTTGATAGACGTTCTCGAGTAAGACACCTTTTCCTTCAATACAAGAGAAAGAGCAACGGATCCAAAGGCGACTAGTGCGCGCAGAGAACAGCCAAAATGACGCAGAACAAGTCACTCATCTACAAAAAGACCCCGACTACTTCCCTTGTCGCAGGGGAGCACTTGGTAGTTGAGGACCGCCCAATCGATCTTGATCAGGGTCCTCCTGAGGGCGGCCTCATCGCTGAGGTTCTGTATGCCTCGTTCGATCCGTACCTGCGCGGTAGGATGCGCGATCCGAGCATCAAACACTACGCCCCTGCATTCGAACTGAACCAGCCCGTGCCCGAGTTCACTATTTCCAGGGTCCTGAAGAGCGACCATGCAGGATTTGAGGAAGGCAGCATTATTTATGCCAACTTCCCTATTGCGGAATATGTCCGTGCAACTAAGGACTTGCTGGTGAATGCCCGCAAGATCAACAATCCGCACAATCTGGACCTTGCCCTATTTCTAGGACCGCTTGGGATGCCTGGCCTGACAGCCTGGTCAGCTCTTTATCGGATCGGCCAGCCGCAGAAGGGGGAAACGATCTTTGTCAGCTCGGCGGCCGGTGCCGTTGGCCAAGTTGTTGGCCAGATTGCGAAGAGAGAAGGGCTAACGGTGATTGGTTCTGTTGGCTCCGATGAGAAGCTGGAGTTCATTACCAAGGAGCTCGGTTTTGACTCCGGATTCAATTACAAGAAGGAGAATCCAATCGATGCCCTGGCCCGCCTCGCACCGAACGGAATTGATATTTATTTCGAAAATGTCGGCGGTGACCATCTGGAAGCTGCTCTCACTCATCTCAACACAGAGGGAAGAATACCAATGTGCGGCATGGTAAGTTTGTTGGCCCTGTCATTGCCCCTACCTTTTGGCAAAAGACGCCTTCTTTTTTCACATCCTCTGACAGGTATAACTAGATCGGTGATTATAACAAGCCAGTTGAGGAGCGAGTTGGGATCAAGGGATTGAGAAATGTCATCTCCAAGCAGCTCATCTTGCAAGGTTTCCTGGTATTTAACCCAAAGTTTGGACCAGCCTACTTCAAGGAGCATCAGGAAAAGTTCCAGCAGTGGCTGGCCGAAGGGAGCGTCAAGGCCAAACTTCACATTACCGACGGAATTGATCGCGCACCGGAAGGTCTGGTTGGGATCTTCAAGGGAGAGAACTTTGGCAAGGCTGTTCTCAAGATCAAATCATAGAAGAGTGGTATGAATGTCGTATTTCTGACATCTTACGAGCGCAGCTTCCGCATAAAGGATTGATTCTCTGTCAGACGGAGGCTTACAGTCTAATGGCAAAATATGTATGCTCGAGAGTGGCGCAAGATGTAGCATCATGTAGCATCACAGGTCGTGCCGCCTGTTATATGGACGATGCATTGACCCCCAAACCAAGGAGTAAGCGACAGATTCACATGCTATCCAAGCATACTAATAAAATGAGTATTACAACGTACATGTCTATCCTCCCCTCCTAAAGTAGTTAGTTGATCGTCACAATCCATCGCCTCACTTGGCGAACTATCCAACTTGGCATCCAATGGACCTTGGCACGGGCGTAGAGTCTCGCTCGGGGAGGAATTCGATTGGCCTCCATTTGCAAGCAGGGGGGACTGTGGATAATTTCTTCCACTAATGAAGCGAATTCCTCCATTCGTTCTTAGTGCGGGCTCTTTCGGTGTGCCATTGCGTATCGAGAATGCGGATGGAATGCTGACAGGCTGTTTCCGCAATCCCTCACTGCACTGGCACATGGGGGCCGGGATAGGATTTGCGTGCCCGTCGGCATATGGCTCTCTTCTTATTTTTGCCTGAAACCCTGAGGGAATATTAGGGGTGCGGTGGATATTCCCTCAGTGCCATGGCGCGCGTTGCATTGCTTTAGTCTCCATGCCATGATTGGCCGCCAGTCTGTGCGGCCCGTGATGCGTAAGATCAGGAGCCCATTAAATGATTCCACCTACCTGAAGGAGCGCAGTTGAGGCGTTCAGCTGAGCAGTCTCGGCCCAGCCCTGCCAATCAGCCGCCCGTCTTACGCATCCTCGAGGGACCCCTGGTGCCGTCTTTGGGCTTGCCGACTGTTCAGCTTCGCTTCGCTTCGTGAATCATAATGATCTTCTGTAACTGATATCTCTCAGTCTAGGCTTTGTGATTCAGGTGCTCGAGGAAGCTTCCTGATCTGCAAGAACAGCCTGGTAATGGAGCCGAAAACAGTTGTGATCCTGGGAGCAGGCTGGGCGGGGTTAAGCTTGGCTCACCAGCTCCTCCAAAATGTTGCACCAAAAGTGCCGGGGACAAAGGTGATCCTCGTGTCTCCGAACAGCCACTTCTTCTGGAACATTGCTGCCCCTCGGGGTATCATATCGGGCGAAATCAGCGACGGCCATCTCTTCTCGCCGATTCTTCCAGCATTCGACCATTATCAACACCACGAACAATTTGAAT